CTATATACTTTTAAAATTAAAATTGAAAAATGACGAATAAGGTGGAGGATAGAGAGAGAGAAATGTAGGAAGGAGAGGAGAGAGAGAGAGAGGGACGACAAAAGGTGGAGGATGGAGAAAGAGAGACACATGGGTAGCAAGGAGAAGGAAGAGAGAAAAAAATCACAGGAGAAGAAAATAGGGGAGAGATAAAGAAACAGTAAGGAGATGACTCATCTTTCAACTATGAAGGGGTAAAATTGTAAATGCAAAAGTAATTAAAAAAATTATGATATCACATAACACATGGATAAGTTTTTATCATTCTTTAAAATAAATAAAAAACTTAAGTCACTCTCCAAAATATAGTCTTATAATTTGGATGTATGTGTAATTATTCCTTAGGTATTGAAGGTCTTTGTTTTATGTTTGTTAAAATAAATTGACAACAAAGTTCTTACAGGCAAAAGTTAGGACATAACAAACTCATCATAAAGGTTATTTTAATACTATAAGACTCATGTTGAGTTGTCCATTTAATTATCTTTCGAAGTCTTCGTTCACACGACTTCTTTAGTTATCATTGACATTATTACATATTGAGAAGAAAAGCGGTGAAAAAATTAATGGAAGGATGGAAAATCAGCAAGTGGGCCCGCGGATCTCCCGTTCTTTACTTTTCTTCAATATGATTTTCTCACTTGCACCGTTGCTAACTACCAGCATTATCGGATGTGCCAATTTGCCCTATGTATGTGCCAATCTAAAAAAATCCACGATTACGGTCTAATCAAAAGTTGAAAATCAACAAGTCTTTTGATTTCATGTATGTAACGAAGAAGAGGATTTTGTCAAATACTATAAGGATGTGTAAATGGTCTAAAGTCGATATTGTTCCCATCGTATCATTTGCTAACCCAACACTAGTAAATTTTAATCGTAAATTTTAATCGTAAAAAGTTCACCATGTCTCCGTTCTCCTTCTTACACACTCTAATTTTATTTTAGTTTATAAAGAAACCCAACAAATGTCCTCGCCAAGAAAATAATCCCAAATTGGAAAATCAAATATGTATGTGCACAGAAATATCCTCGCAAGAAATAGAAAGGGTTGATTCTTTAGGTGAGGCTGCTATCGAATTTCATGGCTGCAAAGGCGTAGCCTTCGTGGTGGGACTTTGAAGAGTCAATTGAATGGTTGGCGTGGGTGGGGAACGAAACACTGTTGGGCCTGGGCAGGGTTTGAGTTATTTATTTATTTTTAAGTTTAATGTTTAAAATTAGTTTTAAAAATTGAAAATGATATATTTAATTAGCAAGTAACTAGGGTTAGAAGAATGGACACATAGCAGCTAATAAGTTGTATGATGAGCATACATCAAAGTTAATGTGGATGAGCAAAAATGCACCTTTTTTTTTTTTTTTTTTTTGTTCTTCGGTTGCTCCTTTTTTTGGTTCTTTGCTTTGTTTCCCCTTTTTTTTCTTTTTTTTTTCTTTTTTTTTTTTTTGTTTTTTGTTCTTTGCTTGCTTCTTTGTTTGGTTCTTTGCTTTGCTTTTTTTTTTTTTTTTTTTTCCTTGTCTTGGTTGATTGCTTCTTTTCATTGATTCAAATGGGATAGATGCCTTCATTTTTTGTAGGCATAGATGGAATCTTGGATATGTCATCTGTACAATTTGAATTCATGGCCTCTCCTATCAAAGTGGAGCAACAAGGTGCCATCGAACGATCACTGACAATGAACTAATTTCGATTAAAAATCAAGTGTATCAAAGGTAATTAGAGAAACTACATTCAACTAAAGAGTTTCAACAACAACAACAATGGAGCTTTATTCCATTAAGTGAGGTCAATTGTATGAATCCTAGAATTCCACTGTACTTGGTTTTGCACCAAGTCTTCCGTTAGCTCCAAGTATTCCATGTTTTTCTTAAAGTCTATTTCCAAATCTTCCTAGGTCTTTCTCTACCCATTTGCCCTGAGCCTTACTCTTATAATTCTAACCGGAGCATCGGTTGGCTCTTGGTTCACATGTACAACTACCTTAACTGATTTTCTCTCATCAAAAGAGTTTCCATTTCTAATTTTCTTTGGACGCTTACCTCTTTGATGTAAACAACTTTGCTATCTGGCGTATTTTGCTACATGTTGTAAACATGAACTTAGCTATCAGCATCACAAGGCCACTAAACATGTGATTCAGGAAATGTGGCCCCTTGAGTACTTTTCTTTCGTTAGAAAGAAGGGAATTTGCCAAGACAAAGAAGAAAAAGCAGCCAAACACAAAAGCCGCTATGGCAAGTCCGGGAGAAGGGCCGGCCATCAAGTACTTCATATGTGCCGGTAATGAACGAAACCTCCATCGCAATCAAAGCCCACAAAATCAAAGACACTACCATGAAAAACGTGTCAGATATCTCATTCTCATAATTTGGATTTGTGTAAACGGAGGAATAAAGGAGCACCAGGACAGAACAACTAGATACGGCCACGGCTATTGTATCTATTATCACGAATGCTTTGAACGCTGCCCTTCTTGATAGAACTATGGCACCCTGGTCAAGTCCTTTCTCATTTTGGTAACCACCAGGCATGGTAAAACCGGCTGCGAATGTTACAGGTGCTATCAAGGTAGCCACTAGCAGATGTGTTTCTTTTGCTTTATTCCAACTTTTTCCGATTTCCTTGAAACCTTGATTTTCTTCCACTTTATCGCGACCATCTTTGTGGCTGTTGATTCTGTGACCTGGTCTACCACCCCGCTTGCAATTGCACTTTATGATTTTCCTGCAAGACAGAAAAGTATGACAATGTGCTGGAAAACATAACTCAAAATTTTCGGACACAAGCAGTAGAAGGTGATGACTACTGAGTATGTACCTGCTTTTATGACATGCTTATCTTGTCCTCATTAGCTAGAATGATATCAAAGGCGTTGAAGTTTTCCTTGTTGAACGAAATTCTATCAACTTTAGCATCACCTACAAAACTATCCTCAACCCCAAGGTGGAGAATGAGCAAGCTGATGGAGGGGCTTGTCCCCAATAACATCCTTGCCATCTAAAAGGTGTTGCTAAGCCATAGATTTGTCAAAACAAAATTAGCTATCTGATAATGATGATTCCTAAAGGCATAGTGAAGCGCATTCCGACACTCATTGTCGACAGTTCACAACAATCAGGGCATTGAGAAATAAGCTCTTTCATTACATCTAGACGGCATCTCGAGGCTGCAAGGTGAAGAGATGTCCTTCCGTGTATGTCAGCTACGTATGCAGTAGATCTATCATGTTCCAGTAGTTTCTTAGCGATTGAAATTTGACCCAAACGTGCAGCAAGGTGAAGTGGAGTACATCCTTGTTCATCTGCTACTTCTGTCAAAGTACTATCCGTTTTTAGTAGCTCTCTTGTATACATAATACATACATACCATCATCATTGCGGATCACTGCAACGTGCAAAGCCATTATACCGTTGGGGCCTTGTCAACCTGGATATTTGCAAGTGTTAAGTATTCCAAATACCAAGTGACGATATTCCCTCTCGACAGCAAGGTAAAGTGGAGTCTTGCCAGGTTCTTAGCAGCGCAGAAAAACTCGGGGTCTTTTCTAGTCAACATCTCCAACACAAGAAGGTGATTAAAGCGCACTGCTTCGTGCAACGTTGTGTCCTTGTTGTTGTTGGTTTCCTGATGAGTATCTGCTTCTGCAAGCAGATTAATTTCTTCTTCTGGTGAGCTGGCTAGGCCTTGCTCAAGGTCGCCACGATAATGAGCTTTTGCAGCCTGATCAGTAAGAACTCTGACTATACCCGCCCGCCTGTGTCTCGCTGCAATGTGTGACGCAGTTTTGCCACTCTTATTTTGCAGCAATAGTAGTGTTGGACACATTTCAAGGATATCCTCCACAATCCTGGTTGACTCCACTTCCTACTGTTCCGATGTCGGGCCGCTCGAGCATGCTATATAAATATGGACTGTGTTATTTGTTGCAGTCACTTTCTGTCAAGTTGTTCTGCATGTTCCCTAAGGGCATCAAGGTCACCCATTTTTGGCAGCGTTGAACACATCAAGATCCGTGCCACTTATAAAAACTGTAGTATTACTGCCTTGGTTTGTAGAATCTTGGTTGGTATGGTCTGCTAGCTCGAGCTGATCATCGACATTGACCGATTCTAGTTGAGTGCTAGTGATCTCAGTCGAATTATTATCCGTTTATGATAATCAAAGTGAGCTTTTTGGCCAATGCAGTTATCAGAAATTTACAATATGAAGGGACAAAAAAATGAATGGACGAAGAACAGAGATGGGCAGATGAGATTTGAGCGGATCATGTGATGGGAATATTACCTGGAAGGAACAACCGTATGGATGTATGAGTTTAGGATCACTAACTGGATGAGATTTGAGTGGCTTAAATATTCGTCTTTATTTAAAAGTCCAGTATACTATGATGCACTCATGCATGGATACTTGTGGTTGGTCGCGTATTCCATATCTGATACTTAATTGGGTACGATATTTCTCCGATCCTCTCAGATATTCGTCGGACACGTACTATGGTCAATGAACACGGTTTTGACTTAACGGATATGCATCTTTCACATTTAGGATAAGCGTATCCAGCTTTTAAGATGAATTTTACACTTTTACAAGAAAAGATATTGAGGAGAAAATTAATAGGAGGCATCTATAATTGAAAGTTGATGAATACAAAGAGCTTTTCCTCTAATTAAAACCATGAATACTACTCTCACATTTCTACTGTATTTAAAGAGGATTGGATTTTCAACTTTTCTTCTCCAACTTCGCAAATGTACTTGAATTTGAATGATCAATTATGTTTAAATTGTATATATTTATTGCTTTATATATATATATATTTTATTTGTCATATCTATAATGTACCGTATCTTAATTTTTAGAGATCTTTCGAATTGCCGTTTGGTATCGTATCGCTATTATCAGTATCCTATCATGCTTCATAGCCAGTATATATATGTTGCATTTATTTGATTATTTATAATTCTAGAATCTCCGAAATTTTTATTAACTAACTTAAAACCAACAAGTTTAATTAAAGGGCAACATCACAAAATTAAAAGCAAGTGAAATATCTTATATCCTGCGTACAAACTTATTTACAAAGAGACTCACCATCTCCTTTTATTTCTCAGAGACTAGGAATTAACAAAGAGACCCAACCTCCTAAGCATAGCAAATAACAAGTTAGCCATCATCAACATATAGCCGCCAACCATGTCCTTCAGGAAATGTGGCGCCTTTAGTATTTTTCTTTCAGTAGAAAGAAGAGAACGTGCAAAGACAAAGAAGATAATGCAGCCAAGCACACAAGCTGCAACGGCAAGTCCTGGAGAATGGCCACCCAGTACCGCATATGTGCCAGTAATGAATGCAACCACCATTGCCATCAAAGCCCACATTGTCAAAGACACTACCATGAGAAACGTCAGAGATTTCTGGTCCATGTAATTCCACTTTGTGTGAATTGAGGAATAAAGGAGCACTAGGACAGAACAACTAGACATGGCCATGGCTAGTGTATCTGTTATAACAAATGCTTTGAATGCTGCACTTCTTGACAAAACTGCGGATCCCTGGTCCGGTCCTATCTCACTTTGGTAACCACCGGGCATGGTAAAACCTGCTGCAAAGGTTACAGTTGCTATCAATGCAGCAACTACCAGATGAGTTTCTTTTGCTTTCTGTAAACTTTCTCCAATATTTTTCTTGGTTCTCTGATCGTCCTCCACCTTATCACCACTGCCTTTTGGGTTTTTAATTCTACGACCTTCTCTAGCACCCCTTGAATGCAATATGCTTTTTAAATGTTCCTGCAGCCAGAGAATGTTGAAATGTAAGCCATGTTGCAGAGTTGGAGAATTGAAGGCAGGACCTAAAGGACTCAAGAGTCCAACGGCTAGTTTGTGAAAGAAGAAAGGCATAGGATCCTAGTTCCTAAGAGTAGTTGTAGGGCTAGGATTAAGAACAATGAAAGGCTGAGATTTACACAACCAGCTGTCCAATTCAAGGACATGTACTATCTGCAATTCTTGCATATAAGAATGTAAGAAAATGTTGAAAGAAATGTTGAATGAATATGGCAGTCTTGCAGCAATGATTTGCAGACTGTAGTACTTCTTGATATTTTCTTGCATCATTCCTCTCTCAAAAATATCCAAATTCTAACGTGGCCTCAGAGCCAATTCACGATCATTAGCTGGGCATAGTTGTGATTTAAGGGGAGATTTCAGTGTTCGAAACCCCAGAAATCTTTAAAGCTCAGAAAGCTCAAGTTCAAAACACTGAAACCTTCTCATAATTCAAAAATCATACCCCTCTTCTCAAAATGTCTGTGAACAACAATGGAGAAGTTAAAGCGCCAGTCTTTACTGGAGAAAACTACGATTTTTGGAGTATCAAGATGAAAACCATCTTCAAACCCCATGATCTTTGGGATTTGATGCAGGAAGATTGTGTGTCTTCCAAGGCAGGAGGAGAAGGTGACAAGGAAACCAAGTAAAAGGAAATCAAGGAGAAGGAGAACATGACCAAAGATTTAAAGGCTTTGGGAATCATTCAAAACTCAGTCTCGGATCAAATCTTCCCCAGAATAGCTCTTGAAGAAACATCAAAGGGAACTTGGGACAAACTCCAGCATGAGTTCAGAGGTGACATGAAGGTTAGAAAGGTCAAACTCCAAACTCTTAGGAGAGATTTTGAGTATGTTAGAATGAAAGAAAGTGAACGCTTGAATGATTAGTAGGTTATTTGAGCTTGTTAATCAGTTGAAAACCTATGGAGAAGAACTTCCTAATGCTAGAGTTGTGCAGAAAATACTTATTAGCCTAACTAGGAAGCATGAAAACATTGTGAATATTATTGAAGAAACCAAAGATCCTGACACTTTAGGGACTCAAGGGGTTGTAGCATCTCTTAAAGCTTGTCACCAAAGACTTGATAGGCACTCAGAATGCAACTGCGAATGCTTTTCAAGGTCTTAAAATTGGAAACAGAAATAGCTATTCCAATGGACAGGCCCATGGAAACCAAAATTTTAGAGGCAAGAAAAATGGAAGGGTAAAAACAAGAAATGGGATGGAAAGTCTAGTGCTGTGCAGAAACCAAATGCAGGAAATGAGGCTTCAAAAACCCCTGCAAAAAATCTGTGATAAGTTGCATTTTGGAGCTTGCTGGTTTAAGGGAAACCCAAGTGCTCATAATGCAACAGATTTGGGCATTTGTTGAAGGACTGCAATCCAAAAGGAAATCAGCGAGTTGCAAATCAAGTTGAGGAAGCAAATGTGTTCTTTGCTCAGTGTAGAATGGCAACAATGAAAAAGAAAAGCATTATTTGGTACATTGATAGTGGCTGCAGTAACCACATGACTGCACATGAATCACTACTCATTGACATAGATACATCTTACAGAGGTAGAATGAAGATGGGAAATGGAAACCTACTTGATTCAGTTGGTAGACACTAGTGATTGACACCAAAAATGAAAAGAGGTACATCATAGAGGTAATGCTTGTGCCTGGACTTAATGAGAACCTCCTCTGTGTAGGGCAAATGATTGAGCACAAGTACTTTCTTCATGAACGGAGCTGGAAAGGTATTTTTAGTGGGTAACATAATAACAGGTTTTTCTTATGTTGTCCAATCTATCGAGCAGTTCAACTTTTTAAACAATTTTCACCATTCGATTTCTTAACGTCAATCTTCAACATTAATTTTAGGATTACTAAGTAGTCTCAGACCGTTGAAGAAAAATTGGATAATAACACAAAAGAAAATTAGAAGTGATACGTACCAGCTCGAGTGCGTTGCTTATGTTGTCCCTACTAGCTCGAATGATGTCCAAAGCGTTTAAGTTTTCCTTGTTGAATGACATTATATCAACTTTAGCATCAAATGGTAAATCTGTTATCCCGAAGGTGGGATAAATAGCAAGGTAATGGAGAGGTGCATTGCCATTAACATCCTTGCCATTTAAGAGGATGTTGCTAAGCCACAGATCCGTTAACACAAAATCAACTACGTCATCTTGACCTCCCTTTATGGCATAGTGAAGCACATTCTGACATTCGTTGTTGACCAATTCACAACAATCAGGGCAACGAGTAAGAAGCTCTTTCATTATATCTAGATGACCTCTGGATGCTGCAAAGTGAAGAGCTGTGGACCCATCATTGTCAGCAACGTAGGCGGTATATTCATCACATTCCAATAGTTGCTTAACCATTGAAAGGTAACCAAATTTTGCAGCCATGTGAAGCGGAATGATTCCTTGTTCGTCTGCTGCTTTTGCCAGAGTTCTATCCGTTTTGAGTAATTCTCTCGTCATTTCTTTAGCATAAAAAGAAAAAGAAAACATAAATATATACTTCAAGAAACATATGTATTAATGAATCATGAAATGAAAAATAAAAGGAATTTTCTAAGGGAGACTTTGGATGCACTCCCTATCTTCAATGTTCTTTGACTGAAACCTCGTTGGTTTTCAGTTTTAGATCGAAGTCCTTCATATTAATGTAGTAATGTATTTTTATGTAAGTTACTATATTTTTAAATTAACATTTGAAATTGGTAGTTATTTATATTAATGAGAGTTTAAATAAAACCCATAATTTGTGGGATTAATAATATTAAACTATAAATTATACTCTTGATATATTGTATATATATATATATATATATATATATATAAAAATGGTTACATTCTTAAAAACACACAAAAAAAAAATGATATTAAGCTTAATAACATTAATAAATTTCTTCTATCAAGACATGGATACATACATTCTCAAATCAACGAAAAACAAATGTATCCATAACCATATAAGTTTTAAAATGGATAAGAAAAAAAATTGAATGGATTATATATAAAGAAAAATGGGTACTTATATTAAAATAGTACATTTTAGATATAAAAATTGATATATTTAAGAATGAGTCCATTTAAGATTTAAAAAATTGAAAAATTATATAAGTACAATTATAATTAAAAATTGAAATTCGTTACAGTCCTATTAGATTATGAATTTGATCATGTAAATCGTATCATACCTGGTATATCCGTGAGATTCTATCATATCTTTAGACTATATATTATTCTATTAGAGTTGTAATCATATTGAGATAAGGAATTTACTTTCCTACTATTATAAATAAAGACACGATGAAGTGTAATAACACATATAATTACACCTCTCTTCCCTTTATATTATTCAATAAATTAAGCCTACAACAAATTTATTTTTTTTTATAAAAAACTAATAGGTACAAACTTATTCTTTTTTTTTTTTGAAAATCTTAGAATTGTTTTGAATTAAAAATTAATTATGAGTTTAATAAAGGTGTGAGTATTAAAACAGCAAATCAATTACTAATTTTTATTTTAAAAAATTATGTAACTAGATATGTAAATTTATTATTACATTAATACTACTAACTTCGATTGAAATCTAAAAAATTAGTCTGGTTATTAGTCAATGACTAATTTTTCATTTTTTTTATAACTATTGTCTGTATACATTTACCTTCATCGTTGCGGTTAACAGCAGCGTGCAACGCCGTTCTACCATTTGGGCCTTCGTAAGTTGGATTTTTGCAACCTTCAAGTATTTGAAGACAATAATGAGTGTTTCCCCTCTCGACAGCTAGGTAAAGAGGAGCCTCGCCGGCATCATTAGCAGAATAGGAAAACTCAGGGTCTGCTTTAGTTAATATCTCCACCACCCCAAAGTAATTAAAACGGGCAGCTTCGTGCAGCGCTGTGTCCTTCTTCTTGTTGGTTTTCCTGATGAGTTTTTGCTCCGGCAAGGCGGCATCTTCTGATGAGATCGCACGGCCTTGCTCAAGGTCGCCTTGATAATGAGTTTTTGTAGCTACGAGGAGACCTCTAACTATACCAGCACGCCCATATCTTGCCGCAATGTGCAGGGCAGTATCACCACTCTCGTTTTGCAGCCATAGTAGTGCTGGACACATTTTAAGGATATCTTCCACAGTTTTTGTTGACTTGAGTATCTTATACTCAGATTCTTTGTACGTTGGGCGACTATAGCATGCTGTATAGATATGAAGGATTGTGTTCTTGGTTGCAGTCAATATTTTGTCCAGATTCTCGCCATGTTCCTTAAGGATATCGAGATTGCCTTGTTTTGCAGCATTGAAAACATCACGATCCATGCTACTTATTAAAACTGTACTATTGTTGCCTTCTAATTTTGTAGCTTCTTGAATGTCGGTCTGATGACTCTGATCTGCTTGCTCAATCTGGTCACCGACATCGGTTGATGCTAACGGAGTAATAGGACTCTCTGACTGATCAGCCATAATGGAGGTATCCATGTTGAGGGGGTGAAGAGTGATGCAGGAGGGGGAGAAAGGCAAAATTACAACAAGGCCAGTTCTGTTGACTAGTTCAAGCAGCAATCTGGTGGAGGTATTGACTGTTGAAGATAAGGCTTGGTGGGACAACATTAAGATTAAATGGTGATTTGGTATATTACTCTAATTACTATAATAGGCAGGATTGGAGGAACCCTAATAGCTATATTAAGGATGTCCCTACTTTTACAAAACACACGTTCCATTATGAGCAAGTTCTATTGTTGCTAGAAAACTTCTGTTTGTTGAAAGTAGAAGACTTCTTTGTTATTGGTCTTACGTATTTCAAAAATAAGTAAATTGTAATTGATTTATTGTAATTTTAATTTATCAGATTCGCGATCTTAATGTTTTGTTGTGGCTCTTCTAATTTCAAAAGTATCTTTTAAATACATTAATAGAACCAAAGTCTGAAGTAAATAATAAATTTTAATCATTTTTCGAAATCTTTGTTCATATTGTTTTTTAAGTTGTAATTTCGAAATCTTCGTTCACACTGCTTTGTCATTTTGAAGTCTTTCGTTCACACTACTTTTTTAGTTGTCATTTGTCATTCACATATTGAGAAGAAAAGCGGTGGAAAAAGCAGTGGAAGGATGGAAAATCAGCAAGTAGGGCCGCCGATCTCCCTTTTCCTTACTTTTCCTCAATATGCTTTTCTCACTTGCATCATTGCTACCTACCTGCATTATCGGATGTGCCAATTTGCCCTACGTGAAAATCTAAAAAATTCACAATTACGGTCCTATCAAAAGTTGAAAATCAACAAGTCTTTTGATTTCATGTATGTACCGAAGAAGAGGATTTTATCAAATACTATAAGGAAATGTAAATGGTCTAAAATTGATATTGTTCCCACCGTATAATCTGCTAACCCAACATTATTGAAGTTTAATTGTAAAAAATTTTACTGTGGCTACTGACTATGGAACAATGTATCACATTTTATAATTTATTTTGTCAAACTCTCGATGTGAGATTTTCGATACATAACAAAGTATTATCCAAATCCAGTTGAGTGTTGACTCCAAATATAGGTGCGGTAGCAATTTTGGTCTTATTTTAACCTTAATCTAACTTTGTGGCAGGTGAGATGGTTTCTCCTTTCTTGATTGCCAAGAAAGCTGATTCAGCAGATATATAAAGCGGGCTCGAGTCCAATGGGCTTTAGCCTCAAGCCCAAAACATTGAGCCTAAGCTCGTCCTCAAATTTAAATGATTAGATCAATGGGTCGGTTCAAAGCCCAAGAGAGTGGTGAGCCACGGACCCAATAACCAGGCTGGGTCAACGGAGACTCATATGTATCAAAGCTAGATAATCTGGTTTTCCCTTTCGAACAATCGCAATTAGGGTTTTCTGGATCACACTCAAATCCCCAAAGTTTCAGTCTTTCGTTCTCCTTCAGAGACTCGAAGCTGCCTTGGAATTCAAACCGCTGCAATCATGTACGGATCGAGAGGGTAAGCATAGTTCGATTTTGTTTGCATCTTTCTGTTTCTTGCGATAGAATTGATTTTTTTGCTGCGTTTGTATCTCTGAAATCTGTGGCTGTCTGTCTTTGAACATAATTGATGTTTTTAAGTATGGTTTTGATGATTTTTGGCTTAGGAAACTCAATCAAATAGATAAAATTGATCAAGAAAATTCAATCAAATAGGTAACATAATTGGTATTTTTTTCGAAATCAAAGTAGAACACCTAGACCTTGGCTAGTTATTGACCTGTATGTGTACTTCATCGAATAAGTAGGCTGAATTTGAAACTTGAACCGTCTTTCGAGGACTGGAAATGTAGGTTAGGGAAAACGTTGCTGAGTTTATGATTTTCATGAGCAATATGTGACGTGTGCAAATAGTTCATATATTAGGCGGTGGCGTGAATTATTAAAGCCGCAGAGTATGTATGAGAGATTTGATTGCGTGAATGAGAGTGCGATATTTCTCTTTGTGAAATCCCATGTGATTGCTTGCATCTGTTAGCATAAGTAGATTGATATCTTGTTTATATGAAAAAAGGGGTTTTCTTTTTTCTTTGCCTTACCATGCATCGGGGTTTATTTCTAGATATATATGTTTGATATGTGGTTGGTGGATATGATTATTATTTATGTTGGAATATCAAATCTAGGGTTTTAGACATTAGGTGACAGGGAAGTGTGTGGGTTGGGTTCGGTTTTATTAACAGGTTGAGTGGGGGATTATCTCTTTTTTGGGTATTTAAGGGCAATGTTGGGAGGCGGGGGGGTTTCGGACGGGTACGAGGTCGGCTCAAAGAGACCAAGAATGATGGATCCCTACTTCGCAGTGAGCAGCGGCGTGAGTGGCTTTCATCCTTATGGCTATGGTGGGAATTTTCAGCCCCCGGTTTTTCCAGTGGCCCGTCTCAGGGGACTTCCATTCAACTGCACGGATATTGACATCTTCAAGTTCTTTGCTGGACTGGATATTGTTGATGTGTTGCTGGTCAACAAGGGTGGACGGTTCTCAGGAGAGGCCTTTGTTGTTTTTGCTGGACCAATGCAGGTTGAGCTTGCTCTACAGAGAGATCGGCAGAACATGGGTCGTAGGTATGTCGAAGTTTTCACTTGCAAGAGGCAGGAGTACTACAAGGCTGTTGCAGCGGAGGTAAACTATGAAGGGATTTATGATAATGACTATCAAGCAAGCCCTCCTCCAACCAAATCAAAGAGGTTCAGCGACAAGGAGAAAATGGAGTACACTGAAATATTGAAGATGCGCGGCCTCCCCTTCTCAGCAGAAAAATCTGAAATTCTTGAGTTTTTTGGAGAATTCAAGGTTTTAGAAGATAGGGTGCATATTGCCTGCCGCCCGGATGGAAAGGCTACCGGAGAGGCATATGTGGAGTTCGTCTCTGCAGAAGAGGCGAAAAGGGCAATGTGCAAGGACAAGATGACAATTGGTTCGAGGTACGTGGAGCTTTTTCCATCGACACCAGATGAAGCTAGACGGGCTGAATCCCGATCAAGGCAGTGATTAAGCGCTATGGTCGCGGATTTAAGGTTTAGATCTGTATGTGATATTTCCATTGTGTGGCTTGGGCTAAAACATTTTTCTCTTTAGTTTTATAAACGAACAATAATTGTTGGTTAAGTTGAAGTCCTTGTGCGGACAAAAGGAAGATGACTTTTTATTTCGTAGCATCTCCTCCCACAATTGTTGGGTTATGTTTTTCTTTTTCCCCTACTTAGTGTTTTTGTGCTTGGTTATCAAACCGTCGGTTTCGCGAAAACTCAGCAGTCACATTTTTCAGAAAGAACTCGCCTTGTGAAAATCTATAAACCGTCATAAAATCTATTTTCATGGAATATTGCAAAGGTGTTATTAATTTGTGTCACACGAGAACTTTCCGGTTTTGTTTTTGGGAACTCATACGAGAACTTCCTAGTAGGTCATCTATCATGGGATTGCTCTCACGTGGACTCGCTTAACTTCGGAGTTTCGATGGAACCTGAAGCCAGTGAGCTCCCAAAAGGTCTAGTGCTAAGTAGAGATGATAATGTACATATAAGGCTTACATAATTCACTTCTCTGGACGATGTGGGATGTTACAATTTGTATGTTTTCAAACTCAAAAATTAAATTTGATAAAAGCGATACTTTTTTTTTTACTTAATAAATTGAAAGACTGCTTCTGAATGACAATATATTTCTAATCGCACACGCAAAGTCTTTTGAAATTTCAATAATCTCATTTTTCACAGAACTCACTAACCATGCACATCAAGAAGAGTATTATGTAAATATAATGGACAAAAGGAATTTCATTCTAGCAGAGTTCTAGGCCCCCTATAATTCTTATTAATGTTTTGTTTTCAAGCTTAAAAATTCATTGAAAAAAAATTTATATTATATGTGAATCAGTCATTTGTAAGACCGCTTCTAAATAACTTATAAAATTATGCTTGTCATGCAAATAATTCTTTCGCATAAACTCCACAAATCTCGCCTTTTCATATAAAAAAAAGAAAAAAGAAAAAAAAAAAAGAAGTTATGAGTTTTAATTGGTTATGCAAATCTTTCAATAACCATCATATAACATATTATGCTGAAATTTATGCCACATCATAAACGTCTTAAAATACATGTAATATGTTTAGAACACTGTAACATGTTTTGAAGATGTTTTAGCCAACAAAACTTTGTTTGACTATGTTAAGCTTTGCGCTAGTATTTTTATTGGTGTTTTTGTTTTGTAAGCAACACCACACAATTTGTAGCCCACTGGTACCCAAAATGAGAAACGACATGTTACCGAGCAAGTTATTTCTTCACCCGGAGTTATGGGTGGGCATTCTCACGGGTTACCCGACCAACCCCGACCAACCCACGCAAAACTAGTTGTGTTCGTTTTATCTTTCAAATTTGATTTGGTCATAACCCGCCCACCCGTGTGAAAAGGGGTGACATTCGGTTTATTAATCCTCAGTTCCGTTGGTATTCGACCCACCCACTTGTATAAATAGTGGCAAGAGAAATGGTAAGGTGACTTATCTCAAAAGTTGAATTTTGTCACCTTAAATTTTGGCACGATGTTTTATAATAATGAAATGGGAATTAATCTTAAATTATGAGGTGATAGATAATTTATACAAAATTCAAGTTCAAAAGTTCCTAGCATTTCTTCTAACAGCAATAACTTTTAAGCTTTTAAACCAAAATGATTTATGAGACTTAACTAACTCCTTACTTTGGTCCTTAAAATTTGAAATTGATAAAACTGATCTCTCAATTTGTCCACCATCAACCACTTTGGTCATTTCATGAAAAACCTTCCTTAACTAAAGAGAAAATGACAAAAATATTATTAATTTTGTCAAATCGTTTTGACTAATTGTTTACTAAATTAAGTTTTGTCATTTTCTCCATCATTAAAAAAAAAAAAAAACATTCACCGATTGATCAAATGATTGATGGTGAAAAAAATTTAGAAATAACTTATATCAATTTCAAATATAAGAAACTAAAATAAAGAGTTATGTCACTTTCATAAACCATTTTGACTAAAAATCTTATCTTTTTTAAATAGTGGTGTGCAGATCGCCATGTTGCCTGCACATATAATTTTGACTAAAAACCTCATCTTTTAAAAAAAAAACCTTTAACAAAACACTTCCGTTATTATTTATTTTAACAAAAAAATCATATTTTTATTCTAAAAAATCATTCATGCTGTTTACATGCAATATATTTTTATCATTTTCACCTGCAATCTCGCATTAGAATTCTGCGAGCTATTTCGCTGCGACTCTTCGTC